AATTCAATTTTTTAATGATTATAAGTATTTGATTAAGGTGCAAAGGGTCAAGGGCTAGAGGAAAGTGGGTGACACCATTGTATCCCCATTCTTTTTTTCCTTTCTGTAATTGGCGGAAGGGTTGAAATAAAAGGAGAAGCCACACCCAACCTCCCAACCATCCCAGGGTCCCTGATGTGGGGCATGCTCCAAAGGTCCTGCTCAAGAGATTCTGACAATTCAGCACTTCTGAATTACTGTCAATCCCACCACTACAATAACAATCCCAATCTCTCCAGAATCCACTGACTGATACAGTCCACCTTAAAGTCTCCGTTTGCCCAGGTATTCACTGGCAACTCTTAGCTGGGGTAGGTAGTTGACTGATTTGTTCTGTTCTCCATCCTTTGTTATGGTACCAGGTGTCCTCTGCAGCCTCCAATGCACTGCCATGTCCTCCATGTGCAACTGGACATGCTGTCCATTGCTCCGCCTGAGCCACTTAAGAGGCCGAGCTCGGATACATGCACTCCATGATCAGATTATGGAACCTGCAATTCTCTCCATCGTTGGGGTTATGAATCCAGCAATTCAGTTGTGGGATCCCCACATAAACTTCATCTGAGGTGATCCCAGACCTGATTCTGGTGTGTGCTTGCCAATACAGGGTCTGACACAGTCCATCACTCAAAGTGGCCTAAGCACAAACTAGTAGTTGCAACAGCTGGGTCAATTCCATCTCCAGCCCTGTTTCTATGCAAACCAAGAGTGTTGCAATCCATCCCAATCCTGCCCACCACACACTCAGCCTTCACACGAACCAGTGGGAGCTGCAGCCTAGTTGGAGTAACTCGCAATATCCTCCGCCAGGCCCACCCCCTGCCCTGGTTCCTGTGCTTGTCAGGTTGTAGAGTAGACTTGTTCTGTCTGTCCAACATCCCATCTAGCTCTTGTACATGTTCATGGGCACTGAACCCTAGTACAACCCAACTAGTCCCACTCTCAAGTCCACACATGTGCTAATGGATGCCACCATCCGTCTAGCCATGCCTGCCCCTAGTCCTAGTTCTCAGGCTCACCAGTGGAAGAGACAGTTTCCCTACTCCCACACCTTGTATACTCCAGGTGGTTCTGATGTTTAGAAATTTGCCCCGCATGCCAGCATCTGCCAGCTGATGCTGTAGCAAAGCCCAACCTACCCACACCCACTCTGGCTTATGCATGCATTAGAAGGTACAGTCAGCCCAGCCTGGCCTGATCTGCCCCATCCCAGTTCTCAAGCTCACCAGTAGAAGTACTGGACCAGCAGGGGCCCCTGCAACTTGGATCGCCCCTACACCCCAGGTCTCACGTGTGCTGACTGGGGGTACTGCAGCCCAGTCTGTCAAGGCCCACCTCACCTCGGCATCTGCCAGTAGCTTGGTCAGATCTGGCCTATCTTCAAGTACAGCTCATGCTGGTCGGGGCTACAACCTAGCCCAGCCAAGCTAGGCCAATCACAGCCCTAATGTGGACTAGCTGGTACTGCAGCAAAACCCAGCATGAACCATACACCATTCTGGATCTCAGATTTGCCAACAGGTGATATGAACTGGTCCAGCCTGACATGACCCACACCTTAGCCAAATGTATACCTGTGTGTACCGTATCCTGGCCTGGTCTGGATTGCTCCTGTCTTGGTTGTTACACTTGCCTGCAGTGATTTCTGTCCTGACAGAGGAGCTCCCAAGCTACTCCATCAGAAACACTCTCAATGCCAGATCTCGCACACACTAGTGGGTCCATTGGCCAGCCCTACTTAGTACCTCCTGTCCTAGCAGGAACAGTGGCTTTTCCTGACCAGCCTTCACCCATTCTGGTTCTTGTTGTTGGGTGGTTGAACTTGCTTTTCCTTCTAATGCAAATGGAAAGCAACTGGATGGGCCAGTATTTGGATCCCTGTCACTTGCATGGGAAACCCAACTGAGCCCCAGGCTCCTGGTTTTGGCCTGGCCCAGCCATGGCCATTGAGGCCATCTGTGGAATGACCCAGTAGTTGGACTATGTTTCTTACTGTCATTTCTGTCATTCCCCTCTCTATAACTCTGCCTTTTAAAAACACCTAAGAGAAAAAAAAAAAAGCTGATTTAAAATTCTTATAGAAAGACCAAAGGAATTAAAATATTGAAACTATTCTGGAAAACAATAACAAAGCTTTAAGTTCAAGTCGACGGAGAAAGAACAGTCTTTTCACCAATCAGTGCTGAAACAACTGGACAGTCATATCCCCACACCCAAAGGAATCTGAATTTAGTCACACTACATGTAAAAACTCACAATGAATCATAGATTTAAATATAAAACCTAAAGCCATAATATTTCTAGAATACAGGGCAAAATTATGACTTTTCCTGCTAAATAAAAAGAATAAGTTGAGCATCAAGATGAAGAACAAGTAAGGAACTATAACGATGTAAAAAGACAAGTCACAGACCAGAACATGATTATATACCTGAAAAGAACTTATGTCCAAAATATAAAAAGCTGAAGATTCAAACATAAGAAAACAATCTAATTTTTAAAACCAAGCTGAAGATTTGGAGACACTTCATTATATTTTGTAAAGGAATAAATGTGAACCATTACTACGTGTCTACTAAATTTTTTCCCAAAGGCTGTTTAAAAATAATGGAGCTGGCATGGGCCCAGTAAGGTAGTCTAGTGGCTAATGTTATCTTGTATGCATGGAGATCCCAGATGGGCACAGGTTCCTGTCCCGCTGCCCCACTTCCCATCCAGCTCCCTGCTTGTGGCTGGGAAAAAAGCAGAGGACAGCCCAAAGCCTTGGGACCTGAACCCAGATGGGAGACCTGGAGGAAGCTCCTGATTCCTGGCTTCAAATGAACTCATTTCTGGCCATTATGGCCATTTGAACAGTGAACTAGTGGATGGAAGATTGTCCTCTCTGTCTCTCCTTCTCGCTGAATCTATGGCCTTTCCAATAAAAAATAAATAAATCTTAAAAAAAAAATGAGGCTGGCATTGCGGCATAGCCAGTATAGCTGCTGCATGTGATACTGGCATCCCACATGGGTACCGGTTCAAGTCCCAGGTGCTCTGATTCCCAACCAGCTTCCAGCTAATGCACATGGAAAATCAGCCAAAGATGGCCCAAGTTTTTGAGCCCCAATACCCATGTGAGAGGACAAGTTCCAGGCTCCAGGTTTCAGCCTGGTCCAACTCTCACCATTACAGTCATTTGGGAGTAAACCAGTAGACAGAAATTTTCTCTCTTGTTTTCTGTCTCTCCCTCTAACTCAGATGTGCACCACCATTATTCATTACACAAACACAAATTATAAATCTATAATGAAATCACTCTCTGTAACTACTTCTAGAATGGTTAACATTTTTAAAAACCTGACAATAATTAGTGGTGGGAATATACTGCAAGGAGAACGCTCGCCTGTTACAGATGGAACCATAAAATGATACAACTACTCTGGGAAATTGTTTGCAAGTTTCTTATAAAGCTGAAATTTTATTTTCTTAGACCCAGTGATCCCATTCCTAGGCTATTTAGCGAACTGAAAACTTAGGTCAATGCAAAAATCTGCAAGCAGATTATAATTTACTTTTATAATTACTTTATTTACCACTGCCAAAAATGACCCTAATGTCCCTCAGCTAAGCAGTAAACTACAGTACGTCCACACAATAGAATATTATTCAGCAATGAAAAGAAACAAACCATCGAAATATGTAACAACACAGATGAATTTCAAATTTATTATGCTAAGTGAGAAGGGTCAGACTCAAAAGAAGGCACTTGTGGTTCGAGTCTGTGTAGATTACATCCTGTAAAAGGCAAAGTGGTTGGGACAATCAAGGCAGTGTTTACCATCGATGAGGAAGGGGAAGGGTTGATGAAAAAAAATATGAGAAAAGTTTTTTGCTGAGATCAAATTGCTCTATATTTTGATCATGGTGGCAGCTACACAAGTGTATATATTTGCTGAAACTCAGACCTGCACATGAAAATCATTAATTTTACTGTATTTAAATTAAAAACTTAAAAAAAAAAAGCTCTAAGTAGAAACCATAAAATGTCAAACCAATCCAAAAACTACTACAGAAATAACCACAAAGATTCTGCATGCCAGGAAGCAAATCTTTTAACCAGAACTATTACAAACAAGGCCTACAATATCACTGACTTAGGCACACACCTCTTCACCACCCCCTGACCCCTGGCATGTCTAGCAAAGGGCATTTTAAAGGAAACCCTCTCATCAACCCCAGCTTACCTGAACCATGCATTATTTTAGAAGCCAAAAGAGACATGAATATACCACAAACAACCTAGTACCTGCAAATCACAGTGAGCCGGGCAAGGCTGCAGGGCTTCCTGCAAATGGCTGTGCCACCCGCGCTACCCCTCTGGTTCAACACGGATCCCCCAGCAGTGTTCCCTCACCTCTGCTGTGACTGCATTTACACTGGCAGCCTGGATCTCGGTCCTGCGGCACTCACTCCCTCACAGAGGAGGCCAACTTGTGCAGAGGCCAGGAAAGTAGGCCAAGGCGACAGAGCACTCTAGTTACAGGGTGGCAGCCAATCACGGGCCCCTCCCTCGGAGTGCGCCGCTCTGAGGTCAGGACTCAGAAGCAGTCTGTACCGTCAGCCTGAACCCAAAAGGGACTGAGTGGCTGAACTTGCTTTTCCGCAGCACTAACTTGTGGGCTTGTGACTGGAGACCCTGGACCAGATTCTGACAGTCTCTCCTCCCACAGTTACCGCCTACTCTGCCCTAACCTTTTCTTTACTTCACCAGCTGCACAGTATGGCCAACCAACCCAGGAATATAGTCCAAGAACTGAAAATGAAAGGCCATGATGCAAACACCCACATCCCCAGACTGCTGCAAACCCAAATGCCCCAGCCCAGACAGTGTCACAGCTATGGCTTCTTCCCTTCCCAACAAAGATAGCAAACTTTAAAACCCCTTTTGCCAGTTGTTCTTCCAGGTGTGAGGGCTGTACCTTTGACTTTATTGTCCACTGACACCAGCTTCTTGGTCTCCGCTGTTAACAACAGCTCGTATGGGTGCTCGTCTTCTTCCCTGGCTCCACTCCCCTGAATCCTAGGTCTCGCGGCCAGGACCTAAGGAAGAGAAACACCCGGTACTTCTTGTGCAAATGACTAAACACTAATTCTGGTGGTGCTGAACAAATGTAAGGTTAATGGGTCAAGTGCAGTAACCTAGTGGCTAAAGTCCTCACCTTGCATGTACCGGGATCCCATGTGGTTGCCGGTTCATGTCCCAGTTGCCCTACTTTCCATCCAGCTCCCTACTTGTGACCTGGGAAAGCAGCCGAGGATGGCCCAAAGCCTTGGGAGCCTACACCCATGTAGGAGACCTGGAAGAAGCTCCTGGCTCCTGGCTTTGGATCAGCTCAGCTTCGGCCATTGTGGACGTTATGGACATTTAGGGACTAAACCAGTAGATGGAAGATTTTTCTCTGTCCCTCCTTCTCTCTGTGAATCTGACTTTCCAATAAAAATAAAATAAATATTAACAAATGTAAGGCTTCTGATTCATCTTTCACAGGAGAGGAAGGGAGGACGGGAAAAGTGAGTAATTCAAATATCACAAGGTATCAAATTACTTACAAGTTGACATCTACACCTCGGACTTCAGTGGCTTTGGACTAGAATGCTGCCCTTTCCTTTCCTCATAATATCTCTTCAAAATGATCAATAAGTGGCTAGCACTGTGGCACAACAGGTAAGGCTACCACCTGCCACACTGGTATACCAGTGGTATACCTAAATGGATACCAGTGTGAATCCCGGAAGATCCACTTCTCATCCAGCTCACTGCTAATGTGCCTGGGAAAAGCAGCAGAGGAAAACCCAAGTATCTGGACCCCTGCCATCCACAAGGAAGATTCAGAAACTCTTGGCACCTGGAATTGGTCACGGCAGTCATCTGGGGAGTGAATCAGTAGTTGGAAGATAGATCTTTTTCCCTCTTCTCTATAATTCTAATTTCCAAATAAATTTAAATAAATCTTAACAGAGAAGACAAGATGAATAGGTTCCAAGTTCCTTCTTCCCTTTGCCTCTCCCATCTCCATGTTCCACAAGATCTTTCCTGTTTCCTCAACGATTTGTGGCCATGCTGCATCTTACAGGCTGTCCCTCTTCATGCTGCTTTCCTAACACTATCAAAACGCTGCAATTTTTCCCATCTTCTCAAGAGCTAACCAGACTGACCCTCAACATGCAACATTTACTAGGAACAAAATGGTCTGTCTCATGAACTGTCTTTCTGCTCAGGCCCTGGCATTAAAAGATGGAATTTCCCTAAAGCTAGCTTCTGAGTAGTACATTCATGGGTGCCTACACAATTTGAAATTACTTCTACCAATCTCTGTTCGGAAAAATCAAATGGCCAGGAAGTATGAATTTCAGTGGAGAAAGTCTACTGAGGAATCCCTAACCCAGGCAGCCAACTGTCTCTAATGAAACAATCACAGCTGGCTCTGGCACCCGCCAAATGGGTGGCTTTGGTCAGCTGAGAGCCTGGTTCATTTCATTACCACAGCAGGTCATGGCACGGAGCAGCCACGCCTTCCCTCAAACCAAGCCAGAAATGCCATAACTAGTGTACTACAATCGCAGTGGCAGAAAAAATAGAGACCTTTGCTTTGAAAGATGATTCTGGCTCATCTGTCTGAAGAACCCAATATGTTTCACAGGCAAATGATGAATAATCACTACAAGGGCAAACCCAAGCACAAAATCCCTGCTTGAGCAGTTTGAATAGGACAAGGAAAGCATCACAAATAAGGCTGTCAGGGGAGTTCCAAATTGTTCCTGACAAATAACGGTACCCTTCAAAATCCATTCTGCAGCACACACAAAAAGCTCCTCCTACATCCATATGGCTCACCAACCACTAGGATTCATCATGGCACACACAGAAGCCTCCTCCTACACCAACATGGCCCACCAACCACTGGGACTCATCAGGATTTTGCTTCCAGAAGGCACAGCTCACTGTGCTCCTGTCTAATGAAGGAGGACTCCTACAGTCTTAGGCAACATGGGACTCCTGTTTATTAACAAGACACAGTGAGCTATGCTCCTGTCTAACGAAAGGAGAACTCCAGCAGTCTTGAACAACAGGAGACTCCTGTTTGTTAACAGGCAGAATAATGGCCTCTTCAGTAAATTCTGCTAAGCACCACAGGAGCCTCTACTTAACTACTACAAGCCACGTGGAAACTAAAAGCCATTTCATTACCACAAGCCATTTGCTTCTGTTATTTAGTCCTAGGAATGCAATGAAAGAAACAAAGAAGGGACCATTAGGCAGTTTTCACTGTGTAATTCCCTAAGACCTCAGGGTTTACTTACAGACAGGAGTTTGTGTTCTGAAGGTTCACATACCCAGAACCATCAGTTATACAAGTCCTGGAAACCCCAGTTTTACACACAGTAAGAACTCTTACAGAGCCCCAGACATGCTTCCCCAGAGCTAACTGCCAGTGTGGGCGCCAGGCCTGCAGCATCTTGTATTCTCAAGCAGGATGAGGCTGGTAACTTCCACCTGGAAAACCAAGTCCAGTGGATCTGCATTCACCCTGCACCTGGCTCTTGTGCAAGATTACTGGCAGCAGACAGCCAGCCCATCTCAGCTCTGGAAGGAACTCTAACCTTCCCAAGGCACAGCTACCGAGCACCTGATTTCAGGCCCTGCACTTTAGGTGACAAAATCAGTTTCCTTGAGAAGATCAGGAACCTGTCCAAGAATACAAACAGAACTCAGCCAATCCATGGCCGTATGATTCAGCTCCTTGTGATTCTGGGGCACACTGCTTTCACTTTTTTTTTTCCTGGCTCTCAATTTTTCTGTTTTAGAACTCCTGATTTTGCCTTCAGATATCTAATCAGGATCCTCTACTCACATCCAGACATTGAATAAGTCAACTTTCCTCTTGGTGTCAGCCGGACCCTAGAGCTATGGGAATAAGAGCTCACAATAAAGCAGTGAACACTTTAAAAAAAAAAAAAAAAAAAAACTCTGTCACAGTGAATAAGGCAATAACTGATTTTCAACAGAAAGGATTCTGCTCTTTACTAACTTACTTCTTAATCTTTTTTGTCCTTTCCTCCAGGGTTGGCAATAAATCAAAGCTGAAAAAAATATATGTTTTTTTTCTCTGCTATGTGGAAAGTTTTTCTGAGCAAAACTATAGGTAGTTGCTACCTAACTATAGTCAGCGAATGCTCAGCTGGGGTGTGGGCAGCTGCATCCTCCATGAACATTTAGCGCAACTAAAGCGAGACAAGACCAGAGTCCATTCTTGGGCAGCTGGCAGCTCCTGCTGTGAGGCAAAAATATCTTAAAGGCATGTGCATGTGCGCACACATGCATCTGCAATGCTGAAGCCAGTTTCACAATCAATTACCACTCTGGTAAGCTCTCCAGAGCCAGGCATACCCCAGCTTCCCTTACAGTCTCCTCCAGGTCATCTGGTGACAGCAAAGCTCAGGAACAGAGACTTGAAGCTTGACTAAGCCAGTGTCTCCTGAGACATGAGGTTTATGCTTATTAAAGTTTTGACAGTAAGGGAAACAAAGAGGAGAAGAACACAAACTTCAAAAGATTTTTGTAAAAGATCTGCTCATTCACAGCACACACTAGACTAACATCTGCCTGATTCATCCAGGTAATCACAATCACCAGTAAATAAGCAAACTCACGGGTCTCATGGTCTTCAAATACTGACTGACTGTGCTGTTCCACTTGATCTGGTATTCTAGACTATTCAGACATCAGTTCTAGAAGCTACACCTCAGAGTTTCCCATCTCGGAAAGCAATATGGAGATCTTTGTCTTTCAAAACTTTTGAGATCATGTTACTACCAAACTGTCTGCTTTAGAAAACCTCGGGCAAAAAAGAAAGACCTAGTTATCCGGCATTTCCTTGGGCAGTAGGAAGCTAAACTGAAGTTGGACTAAACAGGTGGCACAGGGCATTTACAGAGGCCCAGCTGGACATGCTGCACATCCCAGGCTTGTCCTTGGGAAGCAAGCTCAACTTACATGTGCGAGTGTTTGCTGCGCGCCCATGTATACACTAGCAGCGCAGTTCTAGACTCTAAGTTGAGACATAATAAGGAATATTTTGTAATTAAAACATGGACAGAATTTACACCAAGCATAGACATCTTTCCCTATCTCCAACAATTAGATTTTTACATCTTTAAAAGGGCTTCTTTGTATTTCACATTTTGTTTAACTTAGGCTTTTCGTCTGCTTCCATGCATTTATTGTGAATAAAAAAACAATTGGTTCACAGCAATACTGTTAAAAAAAAATTATTCTAACTTTCAGGGACAACATAATGAGATTTACCTCTGATATTTACCGATTTTTTTTTTAATTAAAAAATGATAGGGAACTGAATGAGCTACAAAGTAGCAAGTACAATTATATAATATTTTGAATAAGTAGACAATAAGCATTCCCAATATGGTAAAAGACATTAGAAGAGCATTTTGAAGATAAAAGATCAAGGAAAGTATAATTTTCTTCACATACCTAAGTGAGAAGACTGAGTTATCTGGACGTAATAAAATTTAATTTTTTAAAAAGCAGATTATTCTTTTCAAATTACCTTCTCCGGTTGTTCTGCTTACCCATCCCATACAACTCATTTTCTGTACTAAATGAGTATTCACAATTTGTTTGTCCTGGGACACAATTTGCTGCATGTGAAATGAACAAAAAATGCAAAAAAGAAATAAGAAGTCTGGGGTAGAACCACCCAAGACTAGAACATCTGGACTGTCACGGGACACAGACTAGCAAACAGTATAATCACATTTTTTGTATCCAAAAACAATACAGGTATCAAAGCAAAAAAGTGAGACTATTCTGCTAACTAGAGTCAGGAGAAACTTCACGTGTTTTGTATTCCACCTGGAACCCCAATCAACAATGGGCTTATCAGCTAGAGAGGGACAAATAACGATAAATATATGTAAATGTTACACATGTTAATCAGTTTGAAAGGTCATCTTCCAGATTACTACTCACAATCCAGAAAGTTGATAAGAAAATGAAAAAGCAAAGTCTCATGATGAGAGAGGAGTTAGACTGGGTGGTAGTGAGAGAGGAGTTAGACTGGGTGGTAGGCAGTTAGGGTATTCTGGGTCCCCAAGTGATTTTTTTTTCTCAAATATAGAAGGGTATTTTCCCCACCATGTCTTAGATTCACCAGAGCACATCTCTGCCAAGGGACAAGGGTGCAACTGGCATATCAATTCCCCACCTGAAGTATCAGCCAATGTGTGGGAGGGCCTCAGGCTGATCTCTTTACCACTGAAAGGAGAGTAGGAAGAAGGAATACACATATGCCTAAGGCCTAGAATGTCCTATGTCTGCCACCTTTGTGGCCTTTTGTCCCAAGGCCAGGTGCCATGGAAACCAGGAATTTTCTTTGTTCATGGAGAAACATCTTTGAGGTAAACCTTTAAAAGGTGCATTCCCCACCATTAATACGGGTTCTTGTCCTCCTGCCACTATGGCAGAGCACTAGGGCATTCTTTTTGCTTTTAAAAACCCCCTCCCGTCACTAGGACGGGAGTCTCTCTTCTCAGCTTTTCTAATAAATCTTGCTTTAAAACTAAAACTGTGTCCACATGAAAATTCTTCTTTCTTGCAAGACAAGAATTGAGGTTGCTGCTGTATTCGGGGTCAAAAACCCTGCAACGATGATACAAGTCATTAAAAAAAAAAGCCCTCAGCCCTCTCTACCTCAGAAACTGCCAAAGTAAAATACTTCTTATCCAGGTTGTCTTCCTCTTCTTCATCAGGTGGGGGCTTTGCTGGAGGCGGGGGTCGCTCCCTCTGCAAGAGAGAAATCAAGCAAGTATTCCACCATCTCGTTTCCAAGTAACTCATTTGTTGGTTTACTCTTATCTCAGCCCTTGGAAATGAAAAAGAATAAGGTAAAGAAATTCCCCAGAGAGACTCAAGTTAAGATGCAATCTCTGAACAGATGCAGACCCCAGCACACAAACTGCCCCCCCAACACAATTAGCATGCTCTGCAGTTTTTGATGTTTATTGCAGTGATCACATACACCTGATTTATACCCTAGATCCCAGTGAGAAATGCCAACACTAAAAACACTTAACTGCCTTCTTAGAAAATGCCCCTCAAAATACCAATCCATAAAACTTCAGTGTAGGAAAACTACTGGCTCAACATTGCCTACTCTTAAAAAAAAAAAAAAAAGAAACGAAACACTAGATCAGAAGAATCAAGTTGTGAAACAGTCTTAACAAACCAAAGTTGTCGAGGAAGTAATGAGGAAAATAATCAAGGACAAAAACATCACTTCTGGATCACATTTAAAACACTCTAATGTTGGTCTATACTACAATCAGCAAAAGTTCAAATGCTCGGTCACTTCCATCAATACTAAGTATTATATTCCAATAGTAAATGAAAGCTCTATTCATTTACACCCTTTTTAAAAAGGAAAAACCTATTCATAACATTTAAAAACAATTCAAGAGGAAAAGCTGTCTGCTCCTGAACCAGGATTGGCAAGATTTTTCTCAAAGGGCCACAGTAAATATGTTGGGCTCTGAGATTAACTCCACCACTGCAGGACAAAAGCAGCCACACAATACTTGTATATAAATGAATACACTTGGCCATGTTACAATAAAACTTTATGTACCAAAACAGTTAGCTACCTGTGGGCTCTAGTTTGCCAAATCCTGCCCTAGAGTGGCAGTATTTACATCACTGAAGAGCAGATACCAGATTCTTCAGATCATGGGTAGACAATTTCACGAACACACAGAATGATCGTGGTGAAGGAAAGCTAACAGTTCAAGGTTGAGGGGAGATCTGTCATCACACCTTGTATGCCACAGCCCTGGCCATGCTGGATAACCAGTGTTGTTACCAAAGTGATTAAGAGGCCTGATAATTCCCTGGCTTGTAGTTAGTTTACCAGGTTGCCCAAATAGGAGTATTTCAGAAAGCCAAGACAGAGGAAAATGTTGAGTAATGAGAGAACCTCAGAGAAACCTTTAAGGAAACATGCTTCTTATGGTTGAAGAACCACCAGAGATGGCATTTGGTATTCATGACCCCTTTGTTAAACAAGTTTTTTTGCACTCAAATCATATAGGTCATTCTCATACTCTTAGGCTTCCGTCTGGCTCCAACGGCAACAGCTTCACAGCCAGTCTGAACACTGAAATGCACTTTTATCACTGCATCCCATTTTTCCACCCTTCTTTGGTATAGAAATGTGGCAGCACAAGCCTTATCCAAGGACCACCTCATAAGGCAGGACACAGCTAAAGGAGCAGGTTCACATCCTCCACCAGTAAACCAATCTTAAGACCTCCCCCCAAAAAAAGACCCTCCATAGAATCCTTCCTACAAAGCTGCAAAGGCCTGGACACCACCTTCTGTGAAGCAGTGACCACGAGGGACATCAGAAAGCAGAAGTACCTATGCACCTCTTTTTCCTTCATTAAAAAAAAAAATAAAGAGAATTATTTATTTATTCAAAAGAGTTACAGAGAGATCTTCTATCTACTAATTTACACCCCAAATGGCTGCGATGGCCAGGACTGGGCCAAGAAGAAGCCAAGAACCAAGAGTTGTATCTGGTTCTACCACATGGGTGCAGGGGCCCAAAAACTTGGGCAATCTCTGTTGCTTTTCCAGGAACATTAGCAGAGAGCTAGACTGGAAGTAGAGCAGCTGGGATACCGGTCAGTGCCCATAAGGATTACTGGCATTGCAGGTGTCGGCTTAACTAGTTTAGACACAGCACCAGCCCCAAAGCACTTTTTTTTTAAAAAAAGATTTATTCATTTTTATTGGAAAGTAAAGTCAGATTTACAGAGAGAAGGAGAAACAGAGAGAAAAATCTTTCATCTGCTGATTCATTCCCCAAGTGCCTCAATGACCGCAGCTGAGCCAATCCAAAGCCAGGAGCCAGGAGCCAGGAGCTTCTTCCAGGGCTCCCATGTGGGTGCAGGGTCCCAAAGCCTTGGGCTGTCCTCTAATGATTTCCCAGGTCACAAACAGGGAGCTGGATGGGGAGTGAAGCAGCTGGGACACGAACTGGCACCCATATTGGATGTGGTGTTTGGAGGGGAAGGATTAACCAGTTGAGCCAATATGCTGGCCCCATGTGCCTCTTCATTCTAACATGAAAACTTTGGACAGGGGGCTGGAAGTATAATGCTGATCTGTATACATCATCTACATGTTACCAAGATATAGAGCAGTCCCTCAGCCACAGTTAATTCCCAAGGGCCAGGAAGACAGTACAACTACAACATCCATCAGTAAAAATAACAAACAGGCACCCCAGAAGCCTCAGTGCCTACTTAAGACCATACTGGGCCAGGTTCTTAGGGCAGGATGGGATACAGAGTTTGTGAATCAATCACAGACCTCCATTGTTCATTTCAGGAACCCTGTGCTGCTTCTTGCAAAGGCTCCAGCTCCCCCTAATGGGTATCATCTGTAAGCACCCTTGAAAGCAAGGCCTTTTTTTTTTTCTAAACACAGCTGGGCTTCTTAATTCATTTGTGCTGAAAAGCCAAAGAGATGAAGGAAAACCAGTGCCTAGAGAGGTGTTCGGCTGTGGGAGTTGAGTCCGTGCACCTATTCTCACCTCTCACAGTTCTTAGCATCATCTGCTCTGGAGGGTGACCATACCTGGCCGACCTTTCCAATAACTATACTGAAATGTTGGCACTATTTTGGACGAGGTATAGTAAAGAGCCTAACAAAAAAAGAACAGCATAAGAAGTATCAGGTTATTCCCAGCACCCACCCTGAGCCAAGCATGATTACCAAATAGGCAAGAGATCAGCAAAATGGCCATGTGCCAGAAAGGAGAGACCAGTCTTTCCAAAAGGAGGAAAGATCATACCTGACAAGAGGTCTCAAAGTTAGGGTGAGCACTGTTAGAGCTATGGCCAGCTCAACAAACAGGAGCGCTCAGACCCTTACACTACTATGCCTGGCAGCACAGAAGGAGATCAGTGAGACGGGTGACTCAGGCCTCAGCGGACAACGCAACACGGTGGGAGGGGAAAGGAAGTCAGGAATATTGAGAACATGTGCAAGGCCAGAAGGAGAAACGACGCACGAGGAAAGGAGCAGGAAGACAAGCAGGCTGACTGGCAGAAAGAAAACAGTCAAAGCTGTTCCCATCAACAGGTGAGGCCCCATAATTGGATAAAATAGGAATGTAAATACGTCTGACTAAGGCTTGCTAAGGTCCTGATGACCAAATGACAGAACTGGAAACAATCCAAATGTATAATTCCTTGAGGGCAAATGGCAAGTGAACACACACACAGACAGGAACTCAATTCAGTGAGCTGCTTCCACTGCACTGTTCCGCTCTCCAGAGAGAAAATAAACAGCATACATAGTAGCCAAGACCCCAAAGACAGAAGCAGCACTAAGGATACACAGAGATAAAACGTTTCATTTGTTCTAAAACCACTGAAGTAATGGAAAGATGCAAACTGATTATGATGAAATGAGAAAAACTGCCATTCTTCCTCAAACTGAGACCCATGGCTTTAAGTACCCTGGGCATGACAGAAATGGCAGAGCTGTATGAAGAGCAGACTGAGTGAGACCCAGGCCTCTGCCCAGTGAGGAGGCACTGAGACACACCCCTACCAGTGCCACCCTCCCCACCCCACCGAAGCACGGAGCAGCCTGTCAGCCACCCACCCCACCCCCCGCCTTGGAAAAGGAGGGCCCTGAGCACATACAGGCCTCACTGCAGCAGTGCTCACTCCTGGGGCCTCAGCCTCCTTGTTCGTGGAGTCCCGGTCGGATGATCGCCCACTGGCCATGCTGTCCAAGGAATGGCAGGACACAGCATTGTACAGTGCCTCGTAGGGACCCTCCTCTTCAGCACTGGTGTCAAAATCGATGATCAGTTCAGTCACTGCTTTCTCCAGGTCCCCTGAGGAGGGCGAGTAAGAGAAGTTACTAAAATGGAAGCATGATCCTAGATTCTAATTACTGCACCAACTCACAGCCTCTCCAGCAACCTGAACATGACAAGTGCCATGAGACGCCCATCCAGGCAGGAGAATGGCTGCTCTGTTCCAGGGACAGTGATAGTTTCAGCTGCTCTTCATACCTGAGAGCTGAACAGATTCTTCTCTATTGCAGTATGGAAACCCCTTGCCATCTAAAGGATACCTCCCAAAACAATAAAATGCCCTCAAATATCTCAACACCATGAGAGTATAAACTTAACCATAAAGCATAACAACATTTGATAGGAAAACTTCAGTCATCCTGTAATGCCTTTGAGATGGAAGCACTGTGCAGAAGATCCAACACATTGCTAGACAACTACCAACCTCAGAGACCCTGGAATCTCAATCTGTGATTCTGGGAAGTTACTGTCCCAGACCAGTCAACCCTGGGTTGCCTGCAAATAATCGGACCTATAAATGTAAACTCGTTGAAAGCTAAGGGCTGAGCCAACTACTAATCCTATTACCAGCAGATTATGAGGTCACAGAAAAAAAGGGCACACCAGAGGACAAGAGGGAGACAGGAAATCCACAGTACATCCACAACGGGCTCCCCTTAACCCTCTTCTCTCTGTCATCCTCTGGAAAGCTCCCTTCCACTGTTGATTTTGACCTTCTGTTGTTTCTCGAGCCTTCTATATTGTGATTTGTACATGGGGGAAGGTGTCAGTCTTTGTATCTGTCATTCATCTTATCAAGTACCAGGAGATTGCTCAACAAACCTGAAAACATAGAGCCTGGCCGATGACAGACTGTCTGAGCTGCCTAAGATAGCATCTACAGCAGCCGTTGGCCAAATGATACATTACCAAAGTCTCTCTCTCTCTCTCTCTCTCTCTCTCACACACACACACACACACACACCCCTAACAAGTAGATGACAATCACTGTAAATTTACTGTGGGCCATCTGTGCACAAGGCACTAGAATGTGTATCAAGAAAAGAAGGTTCCTTGGAAATCCTGAGATGACTCTATTACATGCCCCAGAACAGATCTCATGGAACTAGTTGTCGAAATAGAGCATGAAATCAAATAGGAAAGCAGCAGCCCAACATTCAAGGTCTAAGTCCGGTCCAACAAAACTTCATACAGGGAGGAAAATGAATATGATATGATATTCAAATGAATATAAATGTCCTAGGTACTCACAGTCCCACAAAATGGTTTTTGAAAATAAGTTTATTCTGCCCAATAATGTGTTCCTTGGCCGAGAAGAGCTGCCTTACCTTGAGACTTCTGTGACATGGAATCCAAACTGGAGATAAGAGGCGGCAGGGCTGTGGGGGTTTTATCTATCTCTTTTGCACTTCTTTTTCCAGTCATGTGTTCTGCATGGAAAAATTTAAAAGAAAAAGTTTCATCAAATACAAATGCTGCGATTCAGTTAGTGCAAGCTTGGTCACCCAGCCAAGGGAGATGGACTGATACCTTGGATAAGCGCTGCTATCTGCTGGCTCTTTTGAGAAGGCAGTTCCCGGACAGTGTCTAGAGCAGTCAGTCCCCGGTTATCCTTTATGTTGACATCAATTCCTAGAGAGGCACACCAGGAGGACCAGGGGAATGAGCACATTCAAGCCAGCCTTGAAGAGCATCAAATCCCAGGACAGCTAAGGCTCCCAGTGGCACAAACAACAGTTTTTATCCAAAGTCATTTAATCCAGCTATTCAGAAACAAGTTACACACTTGTAAGCAACCAGTACAGACACACACACACACACACACACACAAAGACACACATACAAACACACACACACACACACACACACTCAAATGCAGCCAGCAAACATCTCCTCAGAGGAGGCTGTAGGGAAAAGAATCTCAACCCCGTCGTGCTGTGTAGACAAGAGCGCTGCCGACCTCTCACCTGCAGCCAGCAGGATTTGCACCACATCGGTCTTGCCAAACAAAGCAGCCTCATGCAAAGCACTGCCCATCTCCGTCTGGAAAGCAAACGAGAGCGCAGAGCAGGATGTCATCGGGACAGTTTGGCATGGCATTCCACGACCAACGGGACGTGGACAAGAAGGGACAGGAAAACAAAACAAACCACACAACACCCTCTGTCATTATCTTTCCAGTTCTTCTTGTATGGATTTCAAAGCCACAACCATGATCCACATCTCAAGGTTATTTGTATGCCACCAGCAGGCCACAGGGGAATAAAGCAAGCAGGTGTTCCTAGAGCCACCCACTGGTAAAAATCCTCAGGAGTGGGAAGAATAATCCGAAGCAAAGTACAATCCCCTTTGCTTCAAATGTGCTTTGGCCAGTGCAAACCTTAAGGAACCCTTCGTCTGGATGGGAAGGCTGACAGCAGAGCCAAAGCCTGAGGCTCCTGGTGGCAGCATCCCACTGAGATCATGCAGGTCCTAACTGGTGGCAGTGGGAACACTGGTATAAGAAGATAATGAAACCTATCAAATGTTGAAAGTTTTATAAGCACATCTTTTCAGGGTTTAATGATGATTCAGATTACACCCTGAAAAGAAAAAGAAAAATAATAGACTCACTGGTGGAGTTCAACTGTTCCTAGAGTTTCACATTCAAAACAAATCAACAAATGGAAGCGTCTGAAATGTGATGGGAAACGTGCTGAGTAAGAACACAGCCCAGAAGCATGGTCCTTGTGCCTCCTTTTTGAGGGTGGGAGAGGTGGCTGCCCTGCTACCTGGTAGTTGCTATCCATGCCAGCATCCAGGAGGACCTGGACCACAGCTTTGTGGCCGTTCCTTGCTGCCAAGTGCAGAGGGGTGTGCTTCTTAGTGTTGCAGCTCAGGAGGTTGGGGTGTGCGTTGAGGAGCATCTTCACCACCTCCAAGCGCCCGTAGAGCGCAGCCAGGTCCAGGGGCGTCTCAAATTTGTTGTTGCGCATGGTAGGATCCGTGAGCTCCTCCAGCAGCACCTTCACCACCTCCGTGTGGCCGTACTGTGCTGCGCAGTGCAGGGCTGTCTCATTGTCGTGGTTCTAAAGAGTTAACAAGCAGATTACATCAGAAAGGAAGCTGGCAGATTGGCATCAGACCAGGATATCACGTGTAAAACCACTGAAATTTAAATGAAAAAGACAGCAGCAATACTTGGGAACTAACAAAAGTCAGAAGCCAGGCATGCTCCTGTGGAAACAGGCATGGCTGTTCTCAATTCCTCCTTTCCCTCCATTTACTGCAGGAGGGTGAGATGCCCTCTCCCAAACATGTAGTTTCCTGTGTGCCATGAAGAAACCGTCTCCAGATTGTAAGGAGACATGACAGGCATTTTGCAGAAGTGCTGGCACAGATGAATACCAGTAATATTATTGCCACTGTTTCATTTTAAACTTCACTGGTTTTACAACGTTTCATACTTATTCAACTCTGTGGTTCTGATTCTAGACTTGCCAACCATTCATTGCCTTACATATAAGCTTTTTTTTAAAAAGAAAATTTAGCCATTGGTAAAGCTTCTTGCATGCAAATCAATCAGCCAACAATGAGAGTAACAGAACAGAGCACCTAAAATCACTCTGAAGGTATCAGCCAACAAGCCACTTCAGGAGAGGCAAACACCTGGGTTTAGTCACAGAGGAACAAGGCACCTGGTGCTGCAATGTGCCTGCTCCAGGAACCTGCACCAGTCAATGCATGCAGGATCTACTCTATCCAAACAGAAGCCAGGACAGGGACGTGCATCTTACATGGAGAGCTGCTAAGATGTTTGGCATGAGAGGTGCAAAATATTCAAATGTAATGCTATCATCATCAATATGTAATACTGCCACCAAATCAAATCCACACTTTAATGCCAAATTAATTTGAAACTAAACAATTTCGTCTGGGATGAAATTGGAGAAGTCTGTGCTTCATCAACCACTGGAAGTAAAATGCTAGTCATTCCAGTAATGCTCTCCTTGTATTACTATTGACAACACACAACTAGAACAAAAATACAGTAATTTCCACGACCTCTCGGTTTCGAGAAGCACCGCGGACAGCAACTCTCCCATAAGATTCTGGAATTCCTACATTTACCCAGGAGGCTTCTGTCTCATGGAGGAAAGCACAAGAGAGCTTGTTTTTCCATCAAGTCAATACTGTGCATCTTTCAGTGGTCAAAAATTAAATGTTTGTACCACTGCTTTACTTTTATTAATGGCATAAAAATAATGGATTAGGAATTATCCAAACACACATGCAACTCCACCTGCTTTTGAACTGGCATTTGATTGCATGATCCTCACCCCCTCCCCCAGCTACACCAACTGTATCCATCACATCCACAGCTGCTGGAAGCAAGGCTCTGCAGAGGCCAAAAGAATGGCAAAGAATGTTTTTAAGATTAAAATTAGAACAGAAAACGTGGTAGCAGGAGCCACATGCAACACAGAAGCCACACTGCACACAGGTAAACATGAGGACAGAGAAGAAAGTCCTGAATTCAAACATGGCTCCAGGAGAGCAGCTGCTGAGAAAACACAGTGAGCCTTCAGTGGCCCAGAGCACGCAAGCCAGTCTCTTAAGGAACAACTGGGCCAAGTGGTGGATTTTATGTCAACCTAAAAGTGTTGGAAGAAGCAAAAGGAAAGGAAATGCTGAGCAGAAAGCAAATCCTTGGGGTTCCCTGTGTCATACAAATCATCTAGACCATTCACTTGGAATGCCCATTCCCCTGTAAAGCTAAGACTTGGGAGTTCCCTGAGCAAAGGGAAAGCCTCGATCACTCCTGGCAGATTTCTGGCTACACGTTAAAAATGGTCTAGCCACATCTCTGCAGAAAACTGTGCTCATGTTCAGGGTGTAGGAAGCATCTGAGTATGTTTTGGTCTGGCCAGACATGGTCTGGTAATTACAGTACCCTTTTGTTTATGTCTATGCTGACCACACTGCTCTTCCACTGAACACATGCCATCGTAATGAGCTCTTATTATTGATTCCTCTTTGAGCCTGACAATTACCAGCCCAAGAAATCATAGAGTGTTGATTCATGGACCCACAAGAAAGGGAGGGATTCTAATCTCCTGAAATATTTCGTTTTTTCACATCTTTAATTTACATCACAGGTGCTGTGCTCACATCACCTCAAGTGCTTACAGAATCATATTACTATTAGTCTGGACTAAGAAAAGGGAGTAAGATGAAATGCTTCAATTTTCTCAAAAGCCTTTGTACAAACTCTCCATAGCTATCCAAATTGAGACTAACACTAACTTTTCCTTGCTAGAATTAGAACCTATACTTCCAAGAAAAAAGGGATCTCTGAATATTCCTTTCCTCGAAGACTCCATTCAGAGTATAAATTTGTTAACTACATGAATAAACTTCAAGCAGCAAGAAAACCCAGGCAGAAGTATCTCCACGGCTTTATTCTTCCCAAAATTATTTGAGGACCATAAGTGCCCAATGCTGGGATTACAACCCAATGGCACATTTACCTGATGCTGACAGATGCCCAAGTTACAGACACCTGGGCGGTGGCAATGATGACATAACCCTAGAAACATACCACCACTGTAAGGGGAGGGTAAGCCCAAGCTTAAGTAGAACAGAGAAAACAGAGAATTGAGTCCTTGATTTGGAAGAAATACACTTACTCCATAATGTTCAGAAAAGCAAAATTCTGACCAAAAGATGGAAGGTTTAAGGAGACAGATGCCATAATAAAGAAAAAATCAGTACAACCTGCAAAGAGGCTACAACTGGTAAGGAATCCTATTTGTTATTAGGAAAAACAAAGGATAGACACCCAATCTTTCAGTAATACAGAGAAGAGATCTTTAACTCTAGGTGGAAAAGTGGCCTTTTATAAGGGGTTTTCAAAGCAATTTCATTTTGAATTAAATCACAGCTTGAAAATAACACTTCAGTAGGTAAATCCCAAGAAAGCACTTTTTAAAAAAAAATTCATTTTATTATTTAATTATTTATTTGGGAAAGTCAGATTTACAGAGAGAAGGAGAGACAGAGATCCATCCACTGGTTCACTCCCCAAGTAGCCACAACAGCCAGAGCTGAGCCAATCCAAAGTAAGGAACCAGGAACTTCTTCCAGGCCTTCCATATGGGTGCAGGGTTCAAAGGCGTTGAGGGATCCTCCACTGCTTTCCCAGGCAATCAGGGAGTTGGAAGGGAAGTGGAGCAGCTAGGATTAGAACCAGCAACCATATGGAATCCCGGTGGATGTAAGACTACCACACTGGGCCCAAGAGAGCATATTTAAAAACCTCACAAACCAGGGCTGGCACTGGGCTAAGCCACTGAATGCAATGCAAGCATCCTATATAAGTGCTGGTTCAAGTTCCAGCTGTTCCACTTCTCCAGCTTCCTGTTAACATGCCTGGAACAAAGCAGAAGATGGCCCAAGTTCTTGGAGCCCTAACACACACGTGGAAGATCCAGATGATGAAGTTCCTGGCTCCTAGTTTTTGCCTGGAATGAACTGGTAGATGGAAAAATCTTCCTCTGATTCTTCTGATCTCTCTTACTTTGCCTTTTAACTAAAAAACAAAAAACCTCAACAACCTGGCAGGCAACAACTTAATCAAATAGTCATCAAAAATAAGACAAGGCTGTTAGAATGCGCCACATGCTAATCCTACACCCTGTGATGCCAGCATCACATATGGGTGCCAGTCCATGTGGTGGCTGCTCTGCTTCTGATCCAGCTCTCTGCTTATGGCCTGGGAAAGCAGGCCCAACCAAGTCTCTGGGCCTCTAAAATTCACATGGGAGACCTGGAAAAAGCTCCTGGCTCCCAGTTTTGGATCAGCTCAGCTCTGGCCACTGTGATCATTTGAGGAGTTAAACAGGAAATGGAAGATTTTCTCTGTGTTAAATCTGCCTTTCAAATAAAAATAAATAAATTTAAAAAGAAAGAACAGGACAAATCGACATCATGTGCTTTATGCTCTGACCTATAAAAAGGATGTGGGTAACTTTCTTGTCAAAAATGTATAATCTGAATCCAATCATAATATCAAACGAATTTGAAGTAAAATTTAAAAAAACAAATATTCTGTTCTAAAAATGTCAATGTTATGAAAGACCATGGCTGAGGGAATGTTTTATTATATATGATCTTTGACTGCATCATGGATTGGGGGGAAAAAAACTGCTTTAAACAATAGTACTGAGAAATCTGGTAAAATTTAGCATGAATTCTACATTAGATATCAAAATGTTAAATATCAAAATGTTGAATCTTCTAGATTTGACATTAACACTATATTCTTTTAAATAAAGGCCTTTGTTCTTAGGAGATTGAAGTTGTAACTAACACTAAAATGAAATATTTAGGGTTAAAAGGCTACCATGTCCATGAATTACCCTCAAATAGTTCATTATCAGCTAAAACAACAAAAAAGCCAATATGGCAAAATGTTAACAATTTGAGATACAAGAAGAGTACAATGCAGTTTACTGTATCAGTCTTACAACTTTTTTTAAGTTAAAATTTTTTTCAAAAAAATTCTTAAAACCATTCTAGAATAATCTGATGTGACCAACATTCTGGCACAACTGGTCTATATAAAATCTCACATCTCTTCTAGCTCTAAGAGTGTGAATTTTAAAAACTGTTAATTTATCTGAAAGGCAGAGTTACAGAGAGAAAGGAAGCAACAAAGAGAGATCTTCCATCTGCTGGTTCAACCACCAAATAGCCCTAACAACTAGAGCTGGTTCACTCCCCAAATCGTTGGGGCTAGGCCAGTCTGAAGCCAGGAATAAGAGTTAAGTCCAGTTCTTCTCACACAGGTGCTAGGGTCCAAAGCACTTGGGTCATCTTCTACTGTTTTCCCAGGCACATTAGCTGGGAACTGGATTAGAAGTGCAGTAGCTGTAATCCAAACCGGGGACTATATGGGATGCTGGCATCCCAGGGAGCAAATTTACCCACTACTCCACAACACCAGCCCCTAAGGTAAATTATCTCTAACTATACAGAAAAAAAAAAATGCATCACCCTAAACTAATTTGACTCTTGCTCAGTTTATGAAATTCAGACTAAGCTAAAATTGCTTTCAAAGCACGGAAATGAACAATTTACACATTCCTATCTCTGTTAAGAATGTTTTTCATTTGGACTGTTTCATGCTGACTTGCTCAAAAAGAAAACGCCCCAGATGTTGAAGAGGATATTAAAGTTCATGAACACCAACTCTGTTCCCAGAAAGTCATCTGAGGTATCTTAGTTTTTACAGGTGCCTGACAGGACACAGTAGTTTAGCAGAACAATCCTAGACACAAGGCAGGATGATGGGAAACTGAAACCAGGACAAAATTCCAGTAAATGTGGCTGAATCCACTCCAGAAGGATTTTTATTCTTAGCACAACCCAAATGGCTTTAGCTCCAACTGCAGTTGGCATCATTTGACAATCAGAATTGGGCGGGGTAGGAAGTAGGTGAGGGAAGGGCACAGTAAGGGCCCGAATCCCAGACAGGTTCTTACTACATCTAGCCTTATGTTCTTTAATGTGTGCAAAATCAAAGGATATGAAAATGTACTTTCAAAAACCAAAGACTACCCTTTAATCAAAGCCTTTATAAGCTATCTCAATGGTCCACTAAGCAGGAGAGCAGCCACTTTAAGTTCCTCCTCAAAACAAAACCCTGAACTAACTGAGCAATCAATGTTTCAGTAAGTGTTACCTAGTAATAACAAAAACAGAATCCAAAAAGTGCCACATTATGTACATTCAGAAAATACATTATATACATTCAGAAAATCAGGACTACTGGTACATATGTTTATTTGAGGTACATTTCCTTACTTAAGTTCCCAATCTAACAAGCTACAGGGATAGCAGTGTCCCCTTTTACGGAAGAGGAAACTGAGGAATGGAGGAATTAAAGAATCCACTCAAGACAACCAAACCATAAGTGTCAGCTCAGAACTCAAACTTGGGTATGACATGAAATCCTATGGCCTGCAAATTTTTCACTCTTGTTACTCAACTTCCTCCCAAGAAGTATAACTAAGATAAGATATACTATGTTCCTATTTTGGCAGTGAGAACTTATAGACAAAGTCAGTATTTGAAGACATTGCTTGGGATGCCTCCACCTCCCACAGAGTACATGGTCAGAGTTTCGGCTCCTCTACGTCTAATACACTTCACTCCCACCCCAGGAGACAGCAGATTATGACACAAATATTTGGGTTCTGGTCTTCTGACATCAGTCTGGCCAAGCCCTTGGCTACTGCAGGCATCTGGGCAGTCAACCAGCATCCAGAAGATCGCTCTTGATCTCACTGTTTTTCAAATAAAATGTAAATAAAATAGGGGAAAAAAAATAACACTGCAGAGAGTAAGCCAAAACAGAGCTGAACTGCTCCATTGCTGCAGCTCATAAATGCACAAACACAGAAAATTTATCATAATAGTATCTCCTAGGTATGGTTCAAATACTGATTTGCTAAACCAATATTTCTCAAAGAAAAGTATGAAATATCTGCCTGTGTTTGGAAAAATGCAGAAGCTCCTTATATGTCCCTTCCCCAAGGCATCTATGATCAAAGTAAGCAAAAAGTAAATAATATGAATAATGAAGTGTCTCAGCCAAACTCTAACATTATACAAAAGCAAACCTCATGTGAGCAGGGGGTCCGACAGAATAGTGGCGGATGAGGCCGGACATCTGACATGGAGGCAGACAGCCATCCACCTGCCACACCAGAGTGCCTAAACTTGTGGTATGGCTCACTCCTCTGACTCTAGGTTCTTGCTAATGGGCACCCCATGAAGCAGTAAGTGATGGCTCAAGTGCTTGGGTCCCTGCCACCCACATTGGAAGCACAGAATGAGTTCCCAGATCCAGATATTTTAGGTACCCAAGGAGTGATATAGTCATTGGATAATCTCCTTCAAACAGAATACACAAACAGCTAAAGAAAGCAGTGAAAAGCAGTGAGGGATCAACACCACTCGATTGGCAAGCTCTGGCCCTTCTATGGGGCACAGAGGATTGGCCTTTCAACCTCAGGCCCCAGTCCCACCAGGCAGGAGACTTCAGGGCAAGTGCCCTGCCTGCCCTGCAACACTGTTTTCAGATCCCTTCATGGGTCAAGAGTGAAGAAGCAAAAGGAGAAGTTAATGCTGGAGACTGGACTGAAGCTGTGAAGCATCAGGCAGAAAAGCAAACTCCAGGAGGAGGAGAAGCAGGTGGTAAGCGACAGCTCTTCAGAAGATAAAACGGAATTATTCAGGTCCTTTCCACCATGGCTCCACCAGTAGCTACTGAAACCTGAAAGGAACTCAGATTCTACTTCAAAAGAAATACAGAATGTGGATGAAACTTATCATTTTCATTCCAGGAGGTACACTTTATCATTTTTCTATGCTTCCTGAAAAGATCATTTGTTTGACATCTTTTAACTATATATATATTTTTTAATTTGAATGATTTTAGAAATCATAATGGAAAACTAAGCATCTTGTCGTGGTCCTGTTTTACCTCCCGATTCCTGCCATGTCAGATGTTTCAGCAAAAATACCCATCTTTCCAGAATTACTAAGGGTTTTAAAAGTAATACCAAAAATCCACTGCAGCTGCATTTTCCCATTCCCATACAGGCCAAAAGCAGATGGGTTAGAGCAGACAACAGTCAGAATGATGAGAAGCCCACATGGACAAGAGCAGGAGGCACAGAGGACCAACCAAAGTGGAGCAGCAGCTTGGAGAACGATAAACAGAAATCCTAGCAGAAAAGTACACACCTTGGCATTGATATAAGGGTCAAAGGGGCCGTACTTTTTGAGTTCTTTGATCTCAAGAGCATTCTACAAAAAGGAGAGGAAAAGAAAATGCGATGATAAAATGGATGAAATGTTATTGAAGCAATACACAGCTCTCAGGGGCCCAACACTGGAACAACTTGGACCTGCCCTCGGGATGCCTCTCAAGGAGGCTAGTGGATATGACAAGCTCTAGGTCATCTCACTCATTACCTCTCATTTACTCAAGCACTGGACTAGAGCCACATACAAGACATTAAATGAACCAATGCAGTACTTGCAGCTACCACCCAGATCCAGGCCCGTGTTCTACCCATCAGCAGATACTCCAGGCAGAAGGCAGCTGTGAGCAGCGCAAGCTGGCATACTCAAGTGGCTCAAAAATACAAGCAGCTGTGTTCCAAGGCAAACGTGAGCAAAGAAATAATTAGAAATGAATGCTGGAAACTTCTTAAATGAGAAGGATTTGAATCGGTTACCTTTTTTTATTTTTGTCAGTGTTATATTAAAAGAATATTAGTTACAAGCAAACTTCCTTGAATGTTTCCTCCAGAGAAGAGACATTACTACTCTAGCTAAGAGGAGGAAAACTGCACCTAGATTCTAGAGAGGCAACTCCAAAGCAATAATTTTCATTCCCAAATGTTATTAATAAGCATCTTCGCTGATGATCCTAAGTGTTTGCTACTTACCTACCCAGGAAATGCAACCCAACGGGAGCAGGAAGGCTGATCAACAGCTGCACATACACGTGCTCTCCAAAGAGAGAGACCCAGGAGCCCTACTTGAATTCTCTCACAACTCACAGCAAGCTGTTCTTGACAGAAGCAGTCATGTTCTTGATAGCTCACTGCAAGCTTGCATGGATCTTGGACAGATGAACTCACCAGGATTTCCTATTTTTTTGAGCTGGTGGTGGTGGTGGAAACCTTGAGCTAATCCTACAGGTAATTTAACAATCTCCTCGCAGCAAAGTCATTAAGGAAATAGTGACCAGCTTCCTGAGAAAAAGCGCTATGTCCTTCATCAAGCACTTGAGAAAAACGCCTGCTTCACTGAGAATAGGAAGGGAAAAAGAAGGGCTGGTCACATAAGGAGAGGCTGCCTCCTCTCAACTGGGCACCCCCTCTGACCCAGTTAGTGACAAGGACTGCTGACAGGAGCCTTAACCTAAAGCTTGCATAATGCCAGAATAATAAAGAGGAGAAGGCATATTTTCACAGTCCCTAAATCCATGGCCACTGTGATGTACTTCTGCTTGAATGTTTTTTCTTATTTCTGAAGAATTACCTCTGCTTTTTTCAAAGCGTGTTCACTCTTAACATCAAGGGCACCACGGAAATGACCTTCATTCCACAGAATCACCTCTGACCTCCTTTCACATGTTTCTGATTTTGAATTCGTTTTTCAGCATTCTGATGTATAGAAAACAGCTGCATGATTCACATGGTATTGGCAGACACTGGGAAAGCTATCCTGACATGTAGATGGCATATATACAATTTATAATTAAGTCTACCAGTTTTACCTCTATGCAATTTTGAAAGCTTTACATTTTTAAAATTTTTTTGCAGAGTATATTTTTATTATTGCATTCTTCCAAGTCAGCATGTGCCAATGGCATATAAAATGCATCTGTGAGGTAGCTGTTTAGCCTAGTGGTTAGGACATCCACATCCACTTCAAGTGATTGAGTTCAATTCCTGGCTCCAGCTCTTGATTCCAGCTGCTTTCTAATCTAGATCCTGGGCTGAGTTCCTGGCTCTCAACTGCAGGCAAGCCCAATCCCAAACAGTAGATGGGAACTCTACCTCCCTCTCTCCAACTAACAAATAATAAATTTTTTAAATTAAAAAAAATAAAAATTTTAAATTAAAAGTTTAAGGAGTTTCCAATACATGAAGATGAGTAAACACAGAGGGAAGAGAGAGAGCTGGTCTCCCAGATGTGAGCCATGCGTCTGAGATGTGATGGGGCTGCCAGATGCCAAGACCCGACGAGAGGAGGAAACCCGCCCTGCCTTCGAACCTGTTCATTGACTCTGGTGTGCGAGGGCCCTTGATGGATGAGCAACCGCACTATCTGGGCATCTCCTTTCCAGGCTGCCAAGTGCAGAGGGTAACAGCCTTTAGAGTCAGCCACATTGGTCAGTGCATCATTCCTCAGAAGAACCTCAACCACATCCCTAGAAGACAAAATAAACAAACAAACAAATAAATAAATGAATCAGTCGTTAAGTTTTCAGAGCACCAATAACTCTTTACAATTTGTGTAGCACAAAGCCCACGCAGGGATCATCTCACTAGCTCCTTCCCCTGCCCCAGACCTTAGTTCACTGCCCAGACTTTCTCCATAATTCCAACAGCAACTCCCTTACAGCTGCTGATACCCAATTGAACCACCTGGAGCTCACGCTACACTGACTTAACCCTCCCTGGGGAGGCTTTCTTGACAATGTTTAGTATCTAGGTCTGAATCTTGTAATGATTTCTAGTTTGTGATGTTTAAACAGCATTCATGGGTAGAATTTATACTAAAATGGTCACACAAGACAAAGACTATTCATCACATTATTCACAGCATTTAATGATGTGGGAGCTAATGTGGACAAAGCAGAACTAAAGCTGCTGTAAATGTAAGCCAGACATGTGGTATCATTTGACAGATTCAGAGGGGGAGATTTGGCTTTCTTCTTCGAGACACCTCTAATTAAGCAGGTACATGTGTGTAATTACCCCCATGCACATGAAGACAAAGAAAATACCCTCTGTAAATAAAAACAGCATCTGGAAATGACCTTGCGTACAATCATTTAAGTTCACAACACACTTTAATTCAGATTGCTCTATTTAAGGGAGGGAGAAATGTCTAAAAATTTCTTTTTAGTTTGTTTAAGTCGGCTGTAAAGCTGTAAGAATGATCTAACAATCACTTGCGACACAGTTTAGAAAAATTTAATGATAAAGGAAACCACTGCCTCTTTTTGGCACACTGGAGTTAATTAAGCTGGGCCAAATAGTGGTCAAGAAAAACACAGCAGTGTAAGGTGGTAAGGGCCCTGCTGCTGGCTCATGGAGAGCTAACATGAGTCCAGTACATCCTACCTCATAAAACCTAAACTTCTACTGGTTATCACCTATAGTACTTCATTTGAAACTCTTCTTTAACACTCTGATCTCCATTCTTGGGCGTCCCGGCAAACCCACTCACTGGTCCTTGCAAGCCCCTTAGTGGAGCCATCACACCTTCCTCCCTGAAAGGGTATAGCCCAGTCACTTCATCAGTTTTTCCCCCCATCTCCCTGGACCACACCTTCTCCAGAAAACTTCCCACACGAACTCACCCAATTCCTATTGACCTCTTTATACTTAAGAGGATTAAGTAAGCTAATTATTTATGTGCTTTTATTTTTATTTAAAAAAAGATCTTTTGGTCTACAGGCTAATTTTCATGGGGGAAAAAAGCCACTTTGAAAAAGAAAAGTGTCTCTCAACTGTTCAATTTATTTCAGCTCATTATGACCTTAGTTAACTAATAGATTCCAGTCCTTTATAATTTGGTTATCCCAAATTTGATCTTCAAATTTAGACCACTGAGTGGCACTGGAACACTCTGGGGGGGGGGGGGACAAGTAGGAGAACAGATAAAACTTCACCTTTGACAAAAGATTCTTTGGACAGTAGAGTCTGATGGGGGAGGATGTGTAAAGTATGCACTCCAGAGAGACCTGGGGATTCTGTGTAGATCAAATTTAATGTGTTTTTCTCTGTTTCTCAATTCCACTGGCTTCTAAAAGTGAGGGAGCCAGCCAGAGGGCCTGGGTTCTGCGGAGTGGGGCAGGAATGCAGCACATTCTAATACTTACTTGTGGCCATTCAAAGCGGCATGGTGCAGGGGTGTGTAGCCAGTGCTGTCAACACAGTTCACATTTGGTCCTCTCCACATGCTATCAGGGAGAAAAAGAGAGAGATTTCACAGACTGAAACCACAAACCAACATTAGGAACAGCTAGCGCTGAGAGAAAATTTCTGTGTGGTATTTTCCAAACCAGGACCTGCAAATCCATCTTGATACAGGCCGGAAGCCATGCATTACAGCAACGCTCAGCCCTGAGGATGCACAAAGGCTTCCTGAACGGGAGTCAGTGTCGAAACAACAGCGTCATCAACTGAAAAGCTTATTCTTCTACATCCTTTTCCTCATCTTCCACTTCATTAGTCACTCAACCTGAGATGCCAGACTTGGGAAAACAGCTCATTGAAAGGACATCCAAATCATCCATGGGACCACACCAATCAATCATTCGTCACAGGTATGCTGCCTCCAGGGCTGACGACTGACGTGTGACAGGTGACCTCAGCAAAGACCAGGTAATCAAGACGATTCAAGCAGCAAGGATCAAGACCAAAAATGCACGAGGCTACATGTGTTAACACTCAAGAGACATTTTGTCCTTCCTTCTCAAACAGTTGACCCTCCATATTTGTTCAACCAGCCATGAATCAAAAATACTTAGGAAAAAACAGCTGCCTCAAAATTGAACACCTACTGACACGTTTTTCCCCGTCATCTTTCCCCTAAACACATAGAGCAACTATTTACACACCAATTACCTTGCATTAAATATTGGAAGTAACCTAGAGGTGTTTTAAAGCATATGGGACACACTCAAGTTGTACGCACATATTAAGACATTCTATATGATGGTCCTGCTAATGCAGTATCTGCTGTGCATTGGATTAAGCTACAATCTATGACGCTAGCATTCCACACTGACAATGGTTTGTGTCCCAGCTGCTCCACTTCCAGTCCAGCACCCTGCTAATCTGCCTGGGAAAGCAGTGAAGATCGCCCAAGTGTTTGGGCCTCTGCATCCACGATACACTACATGTAGTAGACCTGAATGAAGCTCTTGGCTTCATCCTGGCCCAGCACTGGCTGCTGCAACTATCCGGGGAGTCAACCAATAGATGGAAAACTCCTGTCTCTCCCTCTCTTTGAAGCTCTGCCTTTCAAACAAATAAATGAATCTCCTTTTTCAAGAGTATCTACTTGAACTTCTACTTATTTGGGATCTTCACATCTATAATCATTCAGGAAAGCAGGTCTGAAGGTTCTGCTTTTTTTAAGCTACTGCTATTGGCAGGGGCCAGTGTTGGGTCTGGGCCACAGACCATCTGAGGAGCTATGTATTCGTTTCTGTATTCAGGAATCACTGACATACAGCACTAAAATTATAAAGTATCAACAGTAAAACCATCTGAGTCCTAAATCTTTATGATTAGATGTTGGAAGTAGCATTATTTATAATAGTGATATTTGGAAATAGTTATCAATACACAGATAATCTTGTTGACTGTAGTACAGAGACTACATATGCTAATTAAATTGCTATATAGTGGCGATGGGGAGCCAGCACTGTGGCATAGTAAATTAAGCCTCTGCCTGTGGTGCCATCATCCCATAAGGCACTGCTTCAAAATCCAACTGCTCCTCTTCCAATCCAGCTCCCTGCTAATCAAATAAAAAAGCAGTGGAAGATGGCATAAGTGCTTGGGCCTTTGCACCCACATGGAAGACTTGGAAGAAGCTCCTGGATCCCACTTCTGGCTTCAGATCAACCTAATACTATCAGTTACAGCCATTTGAGGAATGAACCAGTAGATGGAAGAGCTGTCTCTCCTCTTTTAGCTCCATCTTTCAAATAAAGAAATTTCTTAATGCTATGTGGTAAGACAGGAAAAAAGTATAACGCTGAATTTAAAAAGGTCAAATTATAAATATACATAGTACAGCTCAGAAAGAATCTATGAAAAGAATTCATTAGATAATACAGACTGAGTGTACAGGTTTAATCCATCTCTAAAGTTTTATGACGTGAAAGAAAAAATACTCCACCCTACACTGATGGCTAGATTTATTCAGCCAGATAGGTAAATAAATATGTTCAGCCCAAAAGTATTTTTTAAATATGTCATCAAGCAACTGGTAATACTTAGGAATTCCTACAAGTAGATGAGGTCAAATCTTCCAAGACACAATCTAGGGGAATACAAATTAAAACAATCATCACTTTTCACCTATCAGATCGACAAAAATTCTAAAATATTGGCATTATCAAGTATTATAAAGATCAGGAAAATATGCATTGTTATGAGTTAAAGCTAATGAATCCTTCAGGAAGACAATTTGGCAGGATCTATCAAAACCAAAAATAGCCTTCACTTTGAGCCAATTTCCCTTCCAGGCAACTATCCAACAGAAACACTGTACATGTGCACAAAGACACATGCCTGCATAGGAATGCCTTTATTGTAAGAGTGAAAACCTAAAAACCAGAAGTCTCTCAACAGACACGTAGACAAATGCTAATCTATAAAATAAAGTACGATGTAGCCATTAAAAACAGTAAGAAAAACAAATTGGACCTGTGTGTCCTAATACGGAAAGAAACATTTCTTAAGAGATAGTGTGTGCTATGGGTGAGTGGAATACAAAAGTGTACAGAGAACGGGTCCCTTGTTATAAATGAACACACACACATACCCTTGTAGGTGAAGGCAGGTGGAACACTCAACACACTGATGGTGGCTCCTTCTGGGACACTACAGAATGGTGCAGACAGACCATATTTGCCTCTGACTTCTACCACTCTTTTCAAAAAACACATAGCAGTCTATTCATGTGGTAATTTTCTAATAATCTTTAAAATGAAACAAAGGAAGAATCTGCACAGGAAAAGATACATTAAGTCAATAATAAATTGTATGCAGGTGACAGGCCATTTTAATAAGTAAATAACAGCTTTAAAATCTTATGTTAGGGCCCGGCGCGGTGGCACAGTGGTTAAGGTCCTCACCTTGCACGCCCGGGATCCCATATGGACGCCGGTTCTAATCCCCACAGCCCCGCTTCCCATCCAGCTCCCTGCCTGTGGCCCGAGAAAGCAGTCGAGGACGGCCCAAAGCTTTGGGACCCTGCACCCGCGTGGGAGACCCAGAAGAGGCTCCTGGCTTCAGATCAGCATAGCTTTGGCCGTTGTGCTCACTTGGGGAGTGAATCATCAGATGGAAGATCTTCCTCTCTGTCTCTCTTCTTCTCTGTATATCCACCTTTCCAATAAAGAATAAAATAAATCTTTTAAAAAAAATCTTATGTTAGAGTGGGACTAACAAAGATGTTAAGCTGACAGTTGGGATGTTCTCATATCAGAAATCCTGGATTTGGGGTTGGTCTAGGGCAGGCCAGGTTGGGCTAGGCTGCAGCGCCACTTGACAAAGCAGGGGGAAATGTTGGCACTCGCCTGCTAGTCTATACCTATCACAGGTGAGCACAAGAACCAGAGCTGGGGGTGTGCCTGGCTAGGCAAGGTGGCAGCACCTGTTGGCAAATGTGATGACTGGAAATGGGGGTGAGTTGGGCTGAGCTAAGCCACAGCATGCATATGTGTGCATGACAGCCAGATGGGATGTGGGCTGGGCCAGGCAAGGCCACAGAAGAGGTTGACATGTGCAAAAATAAGGACTGGGAGTGGGCCTGGTAGAGGTTATTGGGGTGGGGTGGGGGGAGTTCCATACTTACTAGGCCATGGCAACCACTGGTATGCATGTGAACTGAGTCTGTGGCTGGGCTGGGTTTCAGTGCCCACTGGTTTAGTTCATTTGAGATGTGAGGCTGAGGCAGAACGGATCAGGCAGTTGGATCCACTGGTATGTGCATCTGCTAGTGCAGATGACAGAATGAACCTGACCTGCACTGGCTAGTGAACACAAGAGACAAATCTGAGGTCACCCCAGGTGAGGTTTTTGGGGGGACTCCCCAACTACACCACTGAGCTCAGACCCTCACAACAGGGAAAATCACAGGATGTATGGTTCAACCTGGATTATGTCTTAGGATTGGGCCTCCTCGACTGCTGATGCCTGTGCAGTGGACAGTATGTCCAGATGCACATGGAGGACATGATGGCAGGCTCATCTAGGCCAGCAGCAAACATCAACAGCCTCATCAGAGGATGAAAAGCAGGACAGGTTGGACAAATTCTCCTGGCCAAGCTTTGCAGCATGTTCCTGAGTCTGCAGGTGCACGAAGGTAAACTTTGTCAACCAATAGAATGTTTAAAGATTTTTCTCAACCCTAGAACAATGAAACCAACACCTCAGGGCTTTTGAGACCACTCAAGTAACACCCTCAGAACATTCTTCCCCATACTGGCATCTCTGGGGCATCATCAAATGACCGTCCCCAATCCCTGTGTGCTGATGTAATTCAACAGCAAGGAGCAGCCCTCTCCCCTTCCTACCCTGTGGACCAAAAAAAAAAAAAAAAAAGACTGAAACATGTGTCTTATCCACCTTCCTTCATACCTGATCCCCCTACACTATGATCAGATATCATTTCACACTTGTTGGAATGACTTCTCTCCACGGTGAAAATCCCATGATCTTGTGGTCTGACTGTGCAGTTCATGTGTCAGAACTGGGTCTTTACATTTGCTGAGGTGGACATGACAATCAGTTCATTGAGGCCTACAGAGGACACCTAATATCATGGTAGGCAGAACAAATTGGACAGCTCTCCTGGACAAGTATCTGGCCAAGTCAAGACTCTAAGGTGGATTATGTCAGCCAATGAACCGTGGAAGGATTTCCTCAACCTTGGAGCAATGAAATCAACAGCATCTCAGAACTATCAACCACTTAAGCAGTATCTTCAGAACACGCTCCACATCCGGGTCCCTGGGATGACATCAGGTGGCCTTCTCCCATTCCTAGGTACTAATGCAGTTGGATTGCTGGGAATGGCACTCTTCTTCTTTCACCACTTTCCCCAGATACCAGAAGGAAAGAGATTAGAGGCAGTTATCTCATCTACTTTCCCCCATTCCTTGACCCTCCCCCACACTAATCGGTGGTCCACATGGGCATGTATCCCTCTCAATTATGT